ATGCATATAGCGAACAAGTGCCCCGCCGCAGTAGTCTAGTGGCTAAGGTACTGGGCTGCTGACCCGCTGGTCGCGGGATCGAATCCCAGCTGCGGCGGCTGCATTTCCGATGGAGGCGGAAATGTTGTAGGCCCGTGTGCTCAGATTTGGGTGCAGGTTAAAGAACCCCAGGTGGTCGACATTTCCGGAGCCTTTCACTGAAGCGTCTCTCATAATCATATGGTAGTTTTTGCACGTTAAACCACACATATCAATCAATAGACAACAAGTCATGCCTCAGTTGAAGTGCTCCAAAATGTTCAATGTATTGGAGAACCATCATAAAATTTATCTCTGCTTGCGTACATTGTATATCCGAAATGTTCGATTTCTCGCTTTGTAGCAGGCGCTCATGGCGCTCAAGGCGAGCGCCATGTTCCTTTCATTTGTAATGTTCAATTTATTATTTTCCTGCTTCGAAACTGAACACCACCTGACATATAATTTTCCAATAACAGAACTACTTAACGGGTCACTCAAGTTCCAACAATAATTGGAACAAATTCGATTGTGTCACCTTCTGGCGCTATTCAATGAGCATTGAACTTCGTCTGAACACTGCATTCTCACATGCACGTGTGTTCCCAATATTAATTTAAAACTGTGACAGCCCCAGCACAGCCCTAAGGAGGTAACATTGGCACCAGCGTAGTCCATATTTTGAATGTAAAAGTGCACTCGAGATGATTACACAACGAAGGAACACTCACGCACACACATATTGCACACACAAACTGTCTGTCTGTCTGTGTGTGTTTGTTTGTAAGTGTGTACTTTTGTTGTGTTATTGTTTCTAATGAGTTTTTACTATTTGTGTAATGTCCCTACAGACGGATTACGCCAAGTGACAGTTAAAGCGATTTTACCAACATTCTGGCCAAGATTATTCTTGACCAATACTGATTGTTGGTCTAGTTGGTACTTGCTTACTGACATGCTTTGGCCGCAAATAACAGAAACACAAAGTAAAGAAACACTCAACGCTTGTGCTTGTCGTTGAGTGTTTCTTTACTTTGTGTTTGTGTTATTTGCGGCCAAAGCGTGTCAGTATTCTTGACCACTGTAACCTCAGGTCAAACTTCATTAAAGGCCCCGCCGCGGTTGTCTAGTGGCTAAGGTACTCGGCTGCTGACCCGCTGGTCGCGGGATCGAATCCCGGCTGCGGCGGCTGCATTTCCGATGGAGGCGGAAATGTTGTAGGCCCGTGTGCTCAGATTTGTGTGCTCGTTAAAGAACCCCAGGTGGTCGAAATTTCCGCAGACCTCCGCTACGGCTTCTTTCATAATCATATGGTGCTTTTGGGACGTTAAACCCCACATATCAATCAATCAATCAAACTTCATTTAACTCCACACTTAAGCAGGACCAAGAATAAAAATGTAAGACTATTTTGCATGGGATCAAATTAGGTACCCGCTAACACGCGTCTTGCCTTCATGTCTGGCCAGGCGCGAACATTGCCGTCTCAGACAAGCGCTCAACGTCCACATTCTGGCTAGTCTGTCAACAGCGCTCAAGATACAGTCCTTTTCTCAAAATCAGCACGTACACATCTTCTGCGATACCACCTCCGTCTTATCACAACACTCCTCGTGTACTTTTCTTCAGTCAGAGCCGAGGAGTCGAAAATATCCGTCGTTTTCGCCACGCCGCTGCGAGAACGCTTAGTTGTCTATGCACGGGGGACAAGGTTCACGCAATCAAGATACTTGCTCGACGGGGCAGAACCTGCTTTTCCTTGCAGGGGGTCGTTGCTTCTCGCGTGTGTTTTCGTCCGACGACTATTGGAATAATGTTCGTTCCTTTGAGCAACTGTCGATTTCTTCGAGCTTATTGAAAGGAGCTGCTTGTTTTTATGCGCTCGCTTCCAGCTGATCAATCAAGAAGATACCTTAATCAACAACGCTGCGTACTGATAGGTAAGATTTTTTTTTTTTTGCTCATCTCCCGTACATTCCATATACGTGCAAGCATGATGGAACTCATAACTTATTTCCCTACATGCACAAGGGTAGTTGCCATTACACTTTACGCAAATGACTTTCTGTGTAGCTTGTTCTGCAGAATTTCGCCCGATAATATCACAGATGCGCGCTCTATTTTCAGTCACAACGGCTGTATTTCAATGCTGTCGAAATGCAGTGATGTCCTGCGTACTAATAGTTTCTCGTCCTACTGAACCTGATGCGAACAAAACGAAACAGCAGGAACGGCTACAGCTTGCTTATAATAACCTTGAAGCAGCATATAACTCCGAGTCGATAATGTTTTGTTTTCTACAATGTTCTGCTTGTATGTTGGTACAAACGTCTACAATATGATCAGTAGCGCCAGCAAAAAGGGCCTCAGCAAACTCGTTTTCTTACTTCTTATGTTTGAAATACTCTACAGATAGCTGTGAAGAGACAGCCATCTTTGGTAGAGGATTTGAAGGCTTCAATCCCGTAAAAAAAAAAACTCCTTTTTGACCTGATGGTCCACCAGGCAAAAAAAAAGCAGCAGGTGTCTTGAGGAATCGAGCCTCGCGTGAATGCCGCAACTTCTACTTTGTCGGAAGTTGCAACAGGCTGTCTTTGTTTGGCGGCTTGTTGCCGCGGTTACCTTTCATGAACAGGTAATAGATATCGGTGTTGAACAAGTAATGGATATTGGTGTTGATATCGGTGTTGAAAGTGTACGGTGTGCTATCATGCCGTCGATGAGGATGATGTACATAACTTTTCTGAATCAGTTCGAAGAAAGTATCACTCAGTCACTGATGAAAACAACTTAAAGTCATGTCGCAACTTTTAATCGATTGCCTTATAGAAATAACAATTCCACAATCTTTTACGTGCCTCTTTTTGACTACACGTTCTCTGTCACAGATTTGCTTCGTCACTTATACCGAAATTGTTTTTTATTTGGCGCTTCAACTATTTCAGTACTTTTCACAAGTCAAAAAAGCACCATGAATAATCGGCTGTTTAGTAAGAAGGCAGAAGCCATGAGGTCAAATTTCTCGGTAATGGGGTCTTTCTACGAGACACAACATGCTTTTTATGTACTGGCACCACCACGACAATAAAAACGGAAGATAACCAGGTCAGATTGCACATGAACAGAATGTTTTCCTTACCGAAAAAAAACCCTATGAAAGCTCACTATAGCACCAGCTGTACCAAATATTCGTTTATTAAGAACACAAAGAAGTTAGAAAAATACTTCCATAAGATGTGCGTTATTCGCGTCAATTAGTGCAGTAGCCACACAACTTGACATCCCGCGCTTCTGCTTCAAGCAAATATGCCTCCTGTGATACACTGCACAATCTGTAAGAGTTGAACGTTCGCAACAAATTATTTTAGATATATGAACTGACCTCCTCTGAAATCACTGTTGTTACTCATGCCAATTTTGTTTATGCACTGCGTGCTCTGGCATTCCATACTACAGAATGCATTCGCAAGTCCTAATGAAGCTAAACAATAATTCAAGGCTAAAGACAATTGTAAATAAATATTAGCACCATCGTGGCTAATAGCGCGAAAAACACAAATGAAGACGAGAAATGAACAAGATAAAAGGCTGACATTCAAGTGAATTTTTATTGAAAAACAAGCGACTATACCAGGAACTCCACAGGCCAGATTCCGGGCGACCATTTACGTTGGACAAAGTAAGATGTCATGAACCCTAACTTCTGTTATATTAATGGCGCTTTTTCAATGCTTGTTTTGCAGCGAAAGCTGGTATGAGTTCAGAACAAGGGTAACGCGTGGAGTCGTAGTTTTCCACCACAGTTGCCGGTGTGTGTAACCAGTACTGAATGAAAAGAAATCTCAGAAAATAAAAACACTAAAGACAACATAGGATTTGTACCAGGGTCTACTGCGTGCCTGCCCAGTATTCTACCATTTAGCCACTCACCGGGAAAGGAAACGTGGTAATATTAGTAATGAAGCGTTCTAGAACATCAAAGAAGCAGCCAGGCGTCACACAATGCTAATTGCGTAATGAGTGGGTCGTCCGATGCTCTATTAGAAAACTTGTTCTTGCTCACCTACGAACTGTGGTGCATACCTACTTAAGGCATAATTCTTCATCATCGTCAGCCACTGCATGAAAATCGAACAAAATTATTAACAAGTGTGTAGCGATTACCACGCTTCTCCAAAGAATAGCCAAGGAGAGCATAGTGAATGCTGGCCTACTACACATAGATTGTGATTATTTATGGCTGAGTGGGTACCCAGCAGTTTCCTTGTATCCGTTACGCAAAGTATGTTTAGAAAAGGCTCTGAAAGGCCACTCTTCACTTTGACTGTGACTGTGCTTTCACTGTGACTTTCGTGACTTTCGCTTTCACTGTGACTGTGCTTTGCGTTCCATGTGGGCTTGGCACTTTTATTTATCCGTGACTGAAAGCGATGTTAGTTACACTGCCGGCAGTAAACAAACTCCGACGGGCGAAACAAATCTTTCTATCTATCAAGCTTCAGGAAAAGACAGTGATCGACGATGTGCAGGAATGACGTTATCGCGTAGAACCGGGCTTATTCTGTATTGATAGAGGGAAACACGGCTTGCGGCACATGGTGTTCTTTTAGGTGCTTCAACTTTTTCCTGCACCGCGCTACGTATGTGTGTAACCCTTGTCACGTAGCGAAAGAGCAACTTCTCATAAATGGGGTGACCACATCATGCGTGTCTTACTTGAAGTTTACATGAAATATGGGAAATGCTGCCACACGTTCGTCAGAGGCTTACGAACTAGCGTAAGGAAAACTTGGATTAGAGGGAGGCGCATTTAATTTGTGTGGGTTACTTAACATCTCTGCGGTGCAGGTTTCATGTACTGTCCTGGGCTTTTAAATTCGCATTTACTTGCGTACTGGTAACGTTATATAGGTTATACCGAAAATTCTCATAATAGTTTGACTAGTACTTCACCTTTTTTACACTGTTTATACTACAGCGGACAACCTTCGAAGCGTTCAATGGACGAGGAGTCATACCGGGACATCAGCGGCGTGTGGCTACACAACGCGTTCCGTGAGGAAAACGGTCCGCTCGGCCATCCAGTACAAGCCCGCGAAAAGGAGACGTCTTCATCGTAACGTATCCCAAATGCGGGACCAACTGGGTACAGTTCATTGTGTACAGCATACTGACCAGGGCCAAGCCGCTTCCGACCCTCCGCGAACTTGGTCTCCTGAGCCCCTTCATCGACATGATCGGCGCCGAGGCGGCCGAGAACCCATCGAGAAGTGGTCCAATCATGACGCATCTTCCGCCGACCGTCCTACAGCCTGTTCAAGAATGCAAGTACATCTACGTGACGAGGAACCCGTACGACTGTGCCGTGTCCTTCTACCACTTTATCAAGGGATTCACGCCCAAGACGGTGACAGGACGTGTCGTTCGAGAAGTTTCTGTCCATGTTCCTGAAGGGAAAGGTAACGTTTTGTATCGGTTACTGTGTTGATTCATGCCACTTTTGCAAGCTTGCCATACATTTTAAAACAGTTGGGTTATAACACCGTACCTTTTGAAACATTGTGTTATTATGCCTTTTAAGGGGGGCAAAAGTTTCCACGTTCTACGCTACGCTACCTACAGTACAACCTAGCAAGCGTTCTACGTGAACATATAGAAGCAGTGAAGATAGGTGCCACTGCCTTTCCCATTGCTAAGAGAAGAATCACAGTCAACATATCCAGACAGCAATAATGCGCTACAAATGAGGCACTTTTTTTCCTAGAAAACCTAAATGTAGAAACCTAAACTAGGCTTAACTTCAGTCGAACATGAAGCATGCCTAAGTATCTTCCATTTCTAGAACAGTTATTATCAGAATACGGCAATTTATTATTGTAACATGAGCTCGCAAAGGCAGTTTTTCATAAAAAATGAGCCAAGTACACCAACTGTCTCAATCAAAGTAAGCCACATTCATTAAAAGAGCACTGCGCCGACACATATGACACTTTTTAAGGCCTTCAATTCATGCCATGAATAAGAGAACCCTGATTGCCGTCCAGAATAGTTAGTGTCCCTTTTGCAAGGAAAGACCACTTGCTCTTCAGGTCTAGTAATCGTCATATGGCCCACGCGTCGAAGCACGGCAGCGACAGAATCACAACTATGACGTCAATTCTATGGCGAAATATTGATATAGCGTACATTTTAACCCTTTTACAGCTATTTCGCAAGCTAATTAGAGCCAGAATGAAATGTGTCAGTCTATATGAGCCGACTACGAACTTCACTCAACAATACCGGCGATGTTTGGCTATGTAGATTTTAGCCAAAATATAGATTTGTGGTTTCTAGGGGCGAAGAACATGCTGGAAAAAAGTTGTTGAGCAGGCCGAACCATATTGTCAGTAGAAAAAAAAAGTGCGTTTTTCTAAGTTCCTATAAAGTGCATTTGCTTCTTTCAGAAGAAAAAAAACGCGTCACATATAGCCAGCAGATCATAGCATCCAACACTATTTTGATTTATTTAGGAACACCTAGTGCCACATTGTACATGAAATGATTCTTGGTAAAGTAAATACTTTTAGGCCATATGGATTGTCGTACGGCAATGATACTAATTGTTAAAGCAGGGCGTCACACTGCATTGTAGCTTGCTTCATTTTTCGGAAGGAATGTGGAGCATTTTCTTCAACCCATTGCTCAAGACAATGAGTACAGTTATCATGAGCTTTTGCCCCAAATGGCCGATGGCGACTATGCTTGTCATAAACAAAGTTCCTCCTACATAGTACCAAAAACTACTGTACTCGACATAGTTCCTTGACGTTACACGGCTACGCATGTCCATGTCGGACCAAATTCGTCGCAGCTTTGATTTATTGGCGATGCAGTAAAGCCATCTTACAGCCACTGCTTTTATGCAAATTAGTGAAATAGAGCAAACTTTTAAAAGTAAGATAACGGGACTGCTTTATTTTTTTTTTCAATTTACATGTGAGCAAATTTTTGGGAAGTACACTTAGTGCAATTTTCTTCTCTTATAGACGTTTTTTACGTGTGCGCTGCCATATTGCTAGCGGGCAGCCCTTTTCGGGTCCGGCAACCCCTCTGGCAAGCGGGAAGCTCGCTGTTTGCATAGAAGGTTGGAGTGCGGCTGCGGTTTTATTGTTCAGTTTTAGTTTTTACGCTTTGAATTTTGACTGAAGTGATGCAGGTTCTTTAGAAAATGAGTCTATGAGGCGTTCTGACCAAAGTTAAGTCGTTGAAGGTCAATTGATACAGTGCCGCGAACAAGTCCGCCTCTATTGCTTCACCGACTTTCTGCTCGAAGAATGCGTAGGATTATCAGGTCTTTCTTTTCCAGAATAAGCAACACTACTTCGAGAGCATAGTGAATATATTTCTTGAGCTGTATTCATCCGCTTTTCTAACAAGATTTCCTTACCCCACGCCGTCGCATTGGCTACCGCGCTTACATGAAGCCGTGCGTTGGGGTGTAGTGGTTCGTCCTTACTTAATGGCACTGACGGTTTTTGTTAACTTTGCACTAACTGTTCTCTAAATTGTCTTTCAACTCTGAAGAAGTGACCGTATCTTACTCGTTCATTTGTTTTTATAGGTGTGCACTTGAATGCAGCTCTTACATCAAACGACGATGACGTGCCTGCCCGACCCGTTTTTATCCTCTTTTTTAATCGCGATATTTGAGTGACTCTCAATGCCGCGAAGCTTTGACCTGCGATGGAGAGAAACGTTACGTGGAGCTGTTTATTGGGGAAATATTGTCATCGTTCGAACAGCTTTAGGCTGCGTACCTTCGGAATAGCTGTTGGCTGCGTATCTTCCGTTCGTAGCCGAGGTTGAGCACCGGTGTCGAAGTCGTTGCGGTTTGTTCGCCTCAAAAGAAGTGCTCTGAACATACCCGAGTATCCACTAAAGATACAAAGTTTTTTCCTGCTTAAGTTTGCAAGTCATAGATGCCGCTGCTCTAAGTCAACAGGAAAACGATGCAACTTGGACAGTCACAGCCACAAAAACTCTGTGTCTAGTGATGCACATGGCAAATTTCTTCCGACTGCAGTTTCCTTTTTCTGTAGTTGTTACTGCACACAAAAACAGCACAGTGGTTTTTTGATAACAAATTCTTGACCATCATAGCAATGAAGAAACCCGAAAACCACAGGTTGGCCTAATACATGGCAAATTCTTCGATAACGCCTCAGATACCAGCGTCCACACGCGCACTCCAAGCCGTCGCCCGCATACCAGAGAGGAAGAGTGCGTTGTTTGCTATACCGCACCTTATCGCCCAATGCAAAGGTCTATAGTTTAGAAAGGACTGAACACTATTCACGGGATAACCCCATGATCCCCATGACTCGTGATTAGTTCACTCATGCCGATTTCATGCTTGTTCGTCTATTGCAGGTCATTTACGGTGACTACTTCGACCATCTCCTTCCTTGGTACCTGCGCCGAGGCGATGACAACGTCCTGTTTCTAACATACGAGCAACTGAAGGAAGACACGAAGGGTCAGGTGCTCAAAATTGCAGACTTCCTCGGTGACCAGCATGGCGCAGCTCTTAGGGAAGACGAAACGTTGTTTCAGCGAATCTTGGATGCTTGCAGTCTCGAGAACATGAAGGTGTTCTTCAAAGATCCGCCGGCAGAGCGGATAAAACTAATAGTCAAGGCGGAGCCCGAAGCGTGTCCAAAGTCAACAGAACCTTCGAACAAGGTTGCTGAGAGAAAAGTCGAAAATCACGAAGGTTCCGGCTTTGTGAGGAAAGGAATCATCGGAGATTGGAGGAATTACTTCTCGCCTGGAGCAAATAGACCAGACAAAGGCATGGATAGCCTCGAAAACGAGTGGAAGCGACGTGATGGAACTATGGCGGGACCTAGATCTCCCATGACGTCTTGTCTCGAACTGCACTTCACTTCAAAAGAAGATAGGAAGACGTCATGAAGCTATATGTTTAACCCGCGACAGAGCGTAATTCGTTTTGCCTCGTCATTTTTCCCCGCTACCTATAAAAGATTAGCCGAGTGGCATTTCATTCCTATTCGCTTTGCTGTCACCTGTTGAGATTGTGCAATAAAGTAATAAATGTATTCATTGGCAATAAACTTGACTTTATGGCGTATAAATTTGAGGTTCACCGGAAATACTTTCTCAGTTTGGGAGCGTTTCACCGAAAGCTATACTGTCAAATTCGTGGCACTTGCAAAGCACTTTATTCAATATCGGTGTTCGTGCCTTGTTTAGTTTCCTCGGGGACGTTTAGGAACTCATAAGTTCACCTGTCACTACGTGACGCTGTTATGCTTTATATCGAGTATTTTTTGGTCTCAATGTAAATTTCATATTATTATTTCCCGGCCTCAATAAAATGAAGTACGATGTTGCTCAAGCCAGCAATAATACCGAATACCTCCTTGAAGTTACAAAGCTACCTACAATATTATGCGGGGTTTAACGTCCAAAACCACCACACAAGGCTACCTGCAATGAATTCAGTGGTTGTGAAAGAAATATTTAGCTTTCTCATTTTCTGTATATCTTTAGTATTGCACCTTTCTTCATTTCATGGTCACAAAAAACAAAGTGACCCTCTGGAATAGGTTCCTGTATTTAACGTCACGATAAAATATGTCATGGTAAGGGCGGTGTCCACAGTCCGTCAAAACGTTTCATAGTGTTATTCTTGCGTCCTGTGAACATGTAAAAACAGCACCAAAAAGCAACATCTGTGATTGCATGCACCTAAAATTTCCGGACAATTATACCACAATCAGTACTTTCAACTCGGGCATGTATGTGCAGCTACACTGACAAAATCGAAGGACACTTTGCAAACTTGCAAAGTGCGTTTGACGAAAGCCTGTGTTAATTGAAACGGTATTGGTCAGAAGAAACAAAACGTCGTGCGCGCGTCTTCCTTTTTGGATGAGGGGCGCATTGCGGTTGGGCTACAGGGTAGACACGTGCGCCTGGGAGCCATCCAACTGACTCGACCTCTGCAATGAGACGTCTGACGAAGGAGCGTTGCCGCGCTGCCCTGCCACTGAACCATCACTTGATTCCAGAGAGAGTGTAAGTGGGAGAGAGACATATACCCTCAGCGCTCTTACCTCTGGTACAGATGATAAACTTGCGAATCTGGAACAAGCTGCCCCTGTGTTTATCACGGGGATGTGACATACACAAAGCGCCCTCAGGTGTAGCTTTTGATCTTTAACTCTGACGACCTCTCTTGACGCCGTCGTTGTCGTAGCTTCCCGTCGAATCGCAACACAAGTTTTGCATATACCTTACATTGAGCGCTCACAGCGCGCATATAGGTACAAGATAGACCATATTTGTCTGCACATTCGTCTGTGCATTGGTTCGTCCGAACGTCTGTCCGTATGTCCACTGGACCGTCAGTCCGTCTGTCCATTCATCCGTCCGTCTTTGAATCTGTTCAGCCATGCATCCGTTTGTGCACCCATCCATCCATGCATTTGCCCGTTCATTTATCCGTCCATGCGTACGTCCCTCCATCCATCCGTGCATCGAAACATACGTCCTTTCGTCCGTCCATCCCTTTCCCTATTCCAAAGTGTGTTCGGGAGACGTGTGTGCTTGTTGAGACGGGGTCGGTCAGAATTTAACGCCATGTGGACATCTCCCTTCTTGCATGATCAGATACGCTGGGCACGAGAACGCTACGCTAACAAAAAGTGAGCTCTGTATAGTGCGACGTGAAGCGTGACCAACACGACCACGTCCGTTGACACGCCCCGGCGGCCACCTGACCACCACCGGGATAATTTAATAAATATTTTACAAAAATTTTACAATCATCTGAGGAGCTTCGCTCCATCAACAGCATTTACTTGGTGCATCGGCTGACAAGTTTTCGATTACTATTTTTAAGAAATATGCGCTTTCATACTTCGCAACTAGTAACTTTAGCTCAAAGGACCTTAAGCACACCCAAAGGCTTTCATTTGCGAAAAGGTGAGGGGGTTGGGGTGCGTCATGCTGCGATTTGCATCATTGAAAGCTATTCGCGCTAACAAAACCAAAAGAGAAGCTGGTTCAAGTGCGCAGACTCTTTCAGGTAGCCAGTTCTAGGAACCGGCACAGACACCGCAAGTATATATGAATCAATAAAGGATTTCACCTTAGTAATATAGTCCCATTTTAGAAGTGCCTTAACCTTGCGCGCATAGCAAACCACTGCGGTGCACATAAACACCATTGCACCAAACACCATTGCATTTTTACTAGCAGCGGCTGGTAAAAAAATGAGGTCACTCAACATGGCTTATCCACCTGTCATATAGCAGTCGGTATAACAAGATAGTAAAACGTGTGTGCACAAGTGTATTTGAGCATTAATTAAATGAAGCATTTTTAGCGAACGTCGGCGGCATTGAGCGTATATGTCTGTCTGTCTGTCTGTCTGTCTGTCTGTCTGTCTGTCTGTCTGTCTGTCTGTCTGTCTGTCTGTCTGTCTGTCTGTCTGTCTGTCTGTCTGTCTATCTATCTATCTATCTATCTATCTATCTATCTATCTATCTATCTATCTATCTATCTATCTATCTATCTATCTATCTATCTATCTATCTATCTATCTATCTATCTATCTATCTATCTATCCAGCTATCTAGCCACCTACAACGTTTAGCTCTCCTGGCTGTTTAGATGATGGTATTGATACCAAAACTAGTATGGAATAACATGATGACATGACGAGAATAAGTGATTTGTTAAAACATAAAAATCATGACATGTATGTCCTTATGTCATGATTTACATTTCATGGTCTTTCTCATCTTGCGGCGGTTTTCTTTTTGACATGACATATTGCAAAAATGGCAAGGTATTACATAACTGCCTGGTGAAAATAGGCGACAGACCCTAATGTGGACATCATGACATGCATGCCAAGTAATGACTACACACCACACTCATGGTGCGCTCACGATCGTTTCACTAGCTTCGTATATCAAATTTGGTATTACGGAAGGTGATGGGATGACGTGAATGAATGACTGGTGCAAACATGGTAATCATGAGATGCGTGTCATGTGAGCACATGACTACATGCGACACTCATGATACCCTCCCGGTCATTTGGCTAGCTTCACATATACCAACTTCAGTATCACGTGACTTGAATGCATGGCGAAAGTATATGACTGAGCAATCAACATAATCATGAAATGCGTGTCATGTAGGAAGATCACTATGTGCCATGCTCATGATGGGCTCGCAGCAGTTTCGCTAGCTTCACATATAGTAAATTTGGTGTTACGCGATGTGAATGGATAACGTCCAACCTTGATAATCATGAAGTGCGTGTCATGTAAAGCATGACTACTTGCTATGCTCATAGCGCGCTCGCGGCCATTTCGCTAACTCCACATATGCCAAATTTGGTATAATGTGGACATGAAAGTCGTATACAGCATAATTTACGTCCACCTCATAAAGATGTGCTGTTTTTAAAGAGACATATCAACCTTCCTAATTCGTGCTTCGCATAACGCCGATTACCACTGAACTTAGAATCCGCCAATTTTTTGCTTTGTTTCGCCACAAGGGCGAGAAAAATGATGCTATAGCGACAAATGGTAATGTATAGCCGAAAACACGCGAAACAGTTAGGCAAGCAGACCAAGAAAGAACGCTCGAAAAGAGCATAGTGTGAACTAGCAACAACCACAGCTCGGCACTGAAAGGACTCTGTTCTAACTAAGAAAAAGGTCACGCCAAACGTTTTCTCTTTTTCTTTTTCGGGTCAGCGTCCGATACGAGTGCTTCCAGCGCGCTCTGACAATATCGACATTTGGTCGGCACTCTGCTGTTAAGCCATCGCCGCAGCTGTTGCTGCGTTAGCTGCTTGTTCGCTCGTAATCTACCGGCTGCAGCTGATACTGGGATGCCGTTCTCTGAGCTCGTCCGTGGCACCACCGCCCGGCTAGCTGCCGGCGGCCATTGCTGCTAGTATCACACTCATGAAGGTTTCGAGCTTTCGTGACCCCTCTCGAGCCCTGTGTGCTCCCAACTGACGTGCCTCTACCAGGGGATATAGACCTAGAGGCTTCAGACGACCTGACTGCCTCGGTGACACCGCCTACTTCAACGAACAATTTGGCTGTCGTTACCATGCCTTCAAGGGTGCTGCTGCTGCCAGACGCCAAACCATTCGCCCCACTCCGGCAGCTTAAGGCACAGAATGGCATTGAATGCAAGTGTGACAATATTTTTCATCAAGCTCGCATAATGTCTACCGCACCGAATGGAGGGAAACGTGCGTGATGATCGCTTTCGTCGACGCCCAAACGACCGCAGACAAGCATGACCAGGAATCACTCCGACATGCGAAATTCGCGTCCGACGTACACTTGCTTCCGCTTGTTACCAAAATGAAGAGGATGGTTGGATACTAGCCAGCTATGGTCGAAAGCAGCAGAATCGTGCGGCGTCACGTGACGCCGAGCTCAGGCGCCCTGTGCATTTGTCAGCACAGCGTCATCCTTCGACCTAAGTAACCATGCCGCCTCATGGATGAGCAGTTCATACGATTGGATAGAGTACTAACTCACCGCAATTCAATTCTTCCCAACCTCTCTGAGGAAGACACGCTACCAGAGCCCATAGTAACCAGCTCGCAGTCGACGCGGCTCAACCCAAGGCATGCAGCGCCCTTTCCACGATAGCGTCTCCGTAAATCGAATGAAAGTAAGTACCTGTTCGAACATACGAAGCGGTTAATCACATTAAAATCAGAGGCATCATTCGCACTGCTGGAGACATGATTTCTGAGGAACTAGTTGAATCACTGCACTGCCACAAAATCAATATCCTCTCAACTGAGTTGCACGCAAAAATGGAAGTACTAATGAAAGACACCTGGACACAGTGCACCCTACAGAATCTTACACGTGTGCTCACTTGGTAACAAAGGCACTGTCATGGTCCCATTTGAAGGTAACAGCACACCCTTTAAGTCGGCTTCCGGTCACCGTCCGTGTTTTTTCGTTATCATGCTCGAGTGGCCGTTTGTGATATACGTACGCCACAAGATTGGGCATCACAAGGAGCAATGCCCCAATATTTCGGCAGCTGGATGTTCGACATGCAGCCTGCGGCA